TTTATTGGAATGACGAAAGCAATGTTGACTTCATTTTAATTTGTAATGAATTGAAGACAGAAAAAATTATTTTACCGTAATATACACATCTGTAACAGCAAGTGATCATGAAATCGTAAGTTATGTTGTTGGTAATTGAAAGGTAAAAATTACTCAGAAATTGTTCTTCAAATGCTTGGCGTGTTCTGCTTCAATGTTTGGCATGTTCTGGTTAGTTTTTTCAAGTTCTTCAGCTGTTCCTTAGGGAAATTTTGACTTTTATTTGCTGATAAGAAAATGGCGTCCGTCATAGCCGATGAGTTTGATGGAACTAAATGAAAACGTGATAAATTAATGTCTGATATTTACAGGCTCCCGATAGAGGGCGTACTCGAGCGTTGCGATCGCGAATCGATCTGTAAATATTCACAAAACCTAGCTATGTACATTTTTCATTGATTTTTCTTTTCACATCATTTTGTGTACCAATGATTTGCACTGATTGCAATGATTTCTTAAATGATGCATTATTTAAGAAATATCTCAAACAAATATGAACTGTTAATTAATATTTATGGCTGCATGATTTTTTGAAAGTACGTAAAAAAGAATTAAAAGTAAGAAAAAGCAATGATAAAATTAAAAATTATTTACAAAACCTCCTTATATACAACATTTTTTATCAATTTCTTTTCTATATTATTCGTTTTCATTTAAACTGACTCTTCAACGTTTCTTCGCCGCGCATTTCGCTGTCGCGTATTGATAGTACTGCGATTATTTTCCCGGTCATTTTGTACTGCTAAATTATGTTCAGCCCTATGTCGCTGTTGATATCTCCTAAGATATTCACGGCGATCCATTTTTTATAAAAGATATAAGTATTTTAAAGTAAACTCTGTTCAATATATTTTACACATTCAATACAAAATAAAAATCGCAACAAGATTTAGCTGGTAAGTTTAGTTGTAACATTTCTGCAGACAGTACACACTCATGGGTTCTCAATTTTGATTGGCTGTTTTGTGAGTTATAAACCAGAAGTCTTCTGTGTTTGGCTATGTGTTATCATTCCACTCTCTTCTTATATATAAATATATATATATATATATATATAATAAATCGTCCAGTCCAGAATCAAGACAATATATTAACATTATCTCATATTGCTGAAGGGAGTGGATTAAGTTTTTGACTGTTACATGTTTGCAATAATGTAATTTTTTTTTTCTGTTTATAGTAGACTTTATTATATGTCAGAATACAAATGGGCAGGAGTAAATAGAAATATGAAGAAAAAAAAAACACTTTTTACTTGTAGTAGAACTAAAATCTAAAATAAAAAATTTGGAAGTGATTAAAAAATTTTATATTTCTACATAAATGTTCAATGTGAAATATTTCAAAACACTAAAATAAATCCACAGATTACAATTAAATAAGTGAATTAAATAAATGCACTTATTTTAATAATTTTTACTGAAATGAACCACAAAAATTCGCAAACTGCTGGGGGAAAAACACGATCCAAATCGGTGTTCCCATCTCTTTCGCTTTTATGTAGAGCGAGAAGATGGTTTATAACATCTGTTAAGTTTGCATTATTATCCCAATATTTTATTGTATTCTATTTCAGACACTGCCGGAAGTCTTAGACGAAGTAGCGAAGGATCTTGGGACTTCAGAAGGTGATGCTGAGTTGTTGGAGTTGGAAATGAGAGCTAGAGCCATACGATCCCTTCTAAAACTCAAATCGAATGAAGAATTTGACTTAGATTCGAATCTTTTGGAGGATGAATAGGAAACTGTGATTTGAATTTGCTTTTCGTTTGTAATAAAAACTTATGTTTTAAGTATTTTTTCAAACCCCTTATTTTTGGTTATTATCTGTATTCGGTCATATTGCATTATAAAATCTCCGGATCGAATTACAGTAAAAAATCTGATAAACCGTTGTTTGTATTAATCATGATCACAATTTTAATAATAACGAATCATACATAAGATAAAAGGACAAAACCGGTTTTTTTTCCTAAGAAATTGCTTTGAGTTGAAAATTTTGCAAACTAAAATATATCGTTATAGTTTTATATTTAAAAGCTTAGTCTCTTAATTAACAATTTGCTATACTTAGGGAGGGAAAACGAAACATAACGTGACTAAATATTGATGACGTGACTAAAAGCTGAAAAGTATGTTGTATTTCTAATTTATATATATATATATATATATTTTAGTACAGACAGAGTTTCACCATGTTGGCCANCACAAGTATATATATATATATATATGTGAGTGTATGTACAATAGAGTCAGTACCGATTATTCGAGTTAATGTGGACAACAACAAACTCCGGATAACCGAAAAACTCGGTTTAAGCGAAGAATATAAAAAATGAAAGAAAAAGAGTAGGCATAAATGTAATATATTTAACAAATACAAAATTTATACGAGTACACAACATAAAATTCACATTATAATTAAAAAGCTTACTTAACACTTAAAGAGCATACTTTACGTGAATTAAAGAGAAGTCCTTTAATTGTTTTTTGTTTTACATTACTTTGGCACTTTTCTGCAGCAAAATTCCGCCATTTTTTTAGGGATAACAAGAAGGCTGGTGTCGCCTCTTCTTCTTATTCCATAAATCCAACAGCACTTTCGATAGTTTTTAGTCCATCTGTATGAGAGATTTTTCTATGTTGATTTTCATCGTGACTGTCTTCATCATCTTCGCTTGATTCGTTTTCATTATTCACGATATTAACGATCAATTCGTCGGTAATCTCGTGTTGTCCGTCAGCTTGTTTTCCTGAGTGTTTGGAAGATAAAATTCAGAATTTTTTCGGTGGCAGTTTTAAAAATAAAAAGTAATATTTAATAGCTCTCGGTTCTCTGTCGATCGGGAATCTACTGGATATATATATATATATATATATATATATCCAGTAGAATATATACAGGTATAGGGCAAAATAATAGGAACACCTGTGCATAGTGGTACTATATACAGGTGTTCCTATTATTTTGTCTTATACCTGTATATATAAATGGTTAATACAGGTTTTTTTCCTTATTGCTCTTCCTGGCGAGTTCTTGTTGAGATGGGCAGTGATCACCCCCATTTTTATTAGAAATTGACTTGAATTCAAGATTGACTACTTCGAAGATAATAATCTCCATTGGAACTTTAGGAGGGCTGATCGGTCTATATCTCCCAGAGGAGCTTGTCTCCCAGATTCCTCCTTTGAAAGACTCGGAGAGAGGGTGGTCTCGTTTTAAGTACGTAATATTTACAGCTGCTAATGCTTCTATTCCTCTCGGAAAACATAAATAGGAGAGACACTTCTTTATACATAGCAGAGACCCTATCTAGCCTTTACTTTTCAAAAGATCTGAACTACTGAAGAAAACTGCTCTAAATCCTACTATGGACAAAAAGATAGAACTAAATAGGTTGAATGCTGAAATTAAAAGAACTTATGTCCAGATTAAGTGATCAAATTGGCAGGACACTTGTAAGAAGTTATATTATAGAACCTCAAGCGCTAGGCTGTTGAAATTGGTCAAAAGTCTTGATGAAATACAAACTCAGAAATGAAAATACAAATGAATGAAGACCCGCCAGGAATGAGTTATTATCAATGCTATAATTAATAATAATGGGTGTGTCACGGTAATTGATTGTGAGGGAGCTGAGGCTTTGGCATTACACTATGCTAAAGAAAGTAAAATAGCATTTAACAGTTTGGACAAGATGCTGCCCAGAATTACAAGGAATCAAGTTAAATCCTGCCGTGATCCACAGCAGAAAGTCATATTTTTAATGAAATTTTTTTCTTTAGCGTAATTGTCTTATGCTGTTCAAAATCAGGATTTGACTAAGTCTCCAGATCCGGATGAACTTCATGGTCAATTCCTTGAACATATGGGTGACCTAGGCAGGGAAAGACTTTTGTATCGTTTTAACTTGTATCGGACTACAGGAAAACTCCCTAGACAGCCATTATTTTCCCTATTCGCAAACAAGTTACGTTGATAGCTACAGCCCAATCGCTCTCACTTGTATTACGTATAAACTGATTGAAAGAATTATTTTGCAGAGATTAACACGCCATCTGATATCAAATAATTTAATTCCGACCTTTAGAAGAGGCCATATGGATGGTACTATGGATCAAATTCTGTTCTTCACTCAGAGTGTTTGAGATGCTCAAAACTGTAAACCTACGAAACATACATTAGCTGTTTTTCTCGACTTGACTAAGGCTTTCGATAAAGTCAGGAAATACAGGCTAATAAACAAATGCTATAATTATTTTATTATCAGGGGTAGAGTTCTTCCTTGGATTTCTGAATCACAGAAATTTCTGCGTAAACTTCTAAAATAAACAATCTTGTTTTTATAAGTTGCATCAAGGCATCCCTCAGGTCTCCATTTTAAGCCCCACTCTGTTTTGAATATTTATTGCAAGAATAGAAAAAAAAGAGTACCCCATTACCATATAGACATTTTTGCGGATAATATAGTTTTGTGATCCAGTAGTGCTGAGATTAACAACTTGGAATATTTTTTAAATAGGTCTTTGGAGACTTCGTGAATTCTCAGACTCCCACAAGTTGAATTTTATCCTTCTAAGTTGTCTAGCTGTCTTTTTACTTTGAATCGGCATCTTTACAATTACTCTCCTGAGATCTACTTTGCAAAGCGGAGGCTGAATAGTGACAAATATCCAATCTACCTAGGTTTTACTTTGGACCTTGAAATAAATTCTAGAAAACATATGGAAAAAGTGCCAGTTAAGGCTAGAGAGAGACTACAGATCATGAAGTACATTTCGGATAGAGACGAGGGGACTGATGCTACCACTATTAAAGTCACAGTGCTCTTGTACGTCCCAGTCTTGAGTATGGTTACTAGATTTTTTAGACGGACCCCACCACTAATTTAAAGATTTTATATAGAGTACAACTCAGTGCAGCAAGAATTGTCACAGGGTTAAGGAACAGCCCAAGTGAAGTAGTTCTTTACAAAGCTGACATTTTACCTTTGACTACGACATTTAAGATAAACTCAGCTAGATATTTTAATAAATAAATGAGTCTAAGGTCATCTTAATAGGACTTCTAACTATATTTTAAATTGGACAAGCAACCAGCGCTTAAAGGGAGACACACCGCTTGATCATGTGGAGAAACATGGTTTTATGAATTTTAAAATTGTCCCGTCATTGACTTTTAGTTGTTTGCCTCCTACGGTATCATTTGAAATTATCAGTTTTAATGAGGCTTTGAAATCCCGTGCTAATAAGCAAGAGTATCATCCTGAACTTCTAAAACAGTTAGCTCTAGAGGAATTAATAATATCCTTTCTGAGGCCATGACTATCTACACGGATGACAGCAAATTTGGAGTCGGTTGAGCTGGGAGTGGTGTTTTCATCAGCAACTCCGAGGCGAAAGTTAAATTTAGCATCCGTAACCCTGACTATGGCTCAGTTTTTAGGTCAGAAATTATTGCTATTGGGAGGGCTCTTAAGTTAGCTCTATAGTAGTATTTGAATTTCGACTGACAGTAAAAGTGTCATCCAATACCTAATCAATTGGCCGAAAATATACGATAAACCTGATTCTGGATTTTCTAGTACTTCTCTCCGAACTAGGCCTGAGGAAATCAGTGTGCTTCCAGTTTATTCCTTCGCCCGTTGGGGTGAACGGTAATGAAATTGTAGATACTCTTTCTAGAAATGGATCTAATCGCCAACTCTGTTGAGCTTACTCCTTCTGAAATCCACTCACTCCACACAAAAGTAATTTACTTTCAACTCGGCGCCTCCCACCAGATCATAACTGGTACGCTGCAAAGGGTCGGGACCTGTCTCTGTTACGCAGTGGCCCCAGTATTCAACAATTGACCTTTGCAAGATTCAGAAGTGGTCACTTGAAATGAAGTTTTAAAAAGGGGAAAAGATTTTTTCTCACTGCACCTGTTCCCTTCCCGCTAGTCCTGCTCACCTTCTTAATTGTTTAGGAGCCCCCTGGAGGCAAATGTTGGTTATGCAGGAGAAGATTTTTGATGTACTCAGGTGACGGGGTCTTCTGGACCTGATGTAGGCTTTCCTTTATCAGGAGGAGGAGGAGTAACAACAACAAAGAAAAGAATTAAAAATTTTGCTGTTCTTCACAAAATTTTGACGAATAATTTAAATATTTAGTTTCAGAGCGATGCATAAACAAATAATAATTATCATTATTTTCCTATATAATGACCAGGGATCTGTGGAAATAGTGGCATAAGTAAGAAAGAAAGTATCATAAAAGAGGTGGTACATAAGTGTGAGTTCACTTTATTTAATGAATAATATATGTTGTGAACGCATATGATCGTGAAGTAAACTTTTCCAATTATAAGTGTCGTAGATTTATTTACACCGTTTAAATTGCGTATGACAGTGATAACTTGAAAAGAGTGTTTCTTCGCTTAATTTTTTGGATTGCTTAATATCGAATTCTGGGAGATATTGCACCTCAATAGTGTAGAATAATCTGTCCCGTGAGCAATGTTGCTTCTGGGAGAGTTTGTAACTCCCTCAATAGAAACAATAACTGAAGCTATCTGCACAGATTCCGCCCTTAGATCTGATTTTTCACAGTAAAGCCAATTCCTGAAATGAGATTTTTGCATTAAATGATTTATCAGGTTTAAAAATTATAAATTACATAAGTCTTGGTTATGGCGACAGCTGGTAATAGTGGACTTCATAGTTAAACAATTTATTTGAAATGAAGATCTTATAAGGTTAAGACTTATGTAATTAACACGTAATTAAAAAAAACATATAAAGAGCTTAGTGGA